AAGCCTAAGAAATATGGTCCTTACAAGGTGCTGAAAAGAATAAATGACAATGCATATGTTATTGAATTACCAGATTCCATGGGAATTTCCAATAGTTTTAATGTTTCTGATTTGTATGAGTTTCATGAAGATGAAAACCTTTTATCCTGAACATAACTCGGGGTCGAGTTCTTCGGAGGTGGAGGGAACTGATGTAGAACGAATGGTTGAATGGATTGAAGAAGAATTGGAGCAAAGAAGGGAAAAATGACGCATTGGGAATTTACAGATTTGGCATTCGAGCTCCGATTGGGTTGCATAATACCTTCTTGAAAAGGGAACAACGGCATGAGTCCAACTCACCACTTTTTTGTGACCTGTGGTGGATTTTGGGCTTCTGAGATCGTTTGGCCTTCCAAAAGTGCATTTAAAGATTGTATTCAATTTACAAACTTTCTGTTTCTTTTCTGTTAAGTTTTCAATAACTCCCCAGGGCAGTTCAATAGGTGAGAATGTTGTATTTAGTCAACCGTCATGCTTGGTTGAACTCATTTCGACTTTTATCAAATAATTCAAAGAGAATTTCTCTCTAATTTCCTGGTGGAATCCAGATTACTGTTCTTTAGGGTTTTCGCTTGAAATCCTATTTGCTTGTGTTGAATCAATTTTCCATAGAGCTAGAACCCGTTGCCAAGATTTGTTTTAGGCATGATATATATTTTTTCTTTTTTCTTTTTGCTGGAGAAAAAACACAAACGAATGCAAACAAAACGACGTCGTACTGACAGCCTTTGCTCGTCCGTAAAAGTGAAATTTAAGCGAAGTTAACGTTTCATTTGACACGTAAAATCCAAGCAACAGTATTTGTTACGTTTGTAGAAGGAAACTGAGAAGACTGCACACACATATCAGGGTGGAGAGAACATGAGATCAGTAAGATGCAGCACAGACTGATCCCATTAACTCAAACCCCAAAAAATAAAAAAAAATAAAAAACACCTCATCCCTTTTTCACCTCACAAGAAGTAATGACGGTTCTAGGTGTCAGCGACACCTTTTCTTCCCCATTCTTTTTACTTTATCATAATTTCAAGTGTAAATCATTGTTTGTTTTGACTTGGGGGTAAATTGTAATGCATTTCAACTTCAAGCCCAACAAACAAAAGAAAAAGTCTTAAGCACGTCTCTGTTGATAGTTGGCAGCAACAAATGAAAACAAAGCATCTCATGAAAGTCACTGCATGCCCACTCAGAAAGTTACTACACAATACAAGCTGACAAAGAGCCCTCACCAAAGATAAGACTGCTCTTGAGATTGTAATGAGCAAATCAACCAGACTTGTGGATTGAAGAAAACAGAAAGATGGAGGAGGGAGAGAAAGGAAGAGTATGTGTAACAGGTGGTTCAGGGTTTGTAGGGTCTTGGCTGGTCATGAGGCTCCTTGATCATGGCTACTCTGTCAACACCACTGTAAGATCAGACCCAGGTAAAGCCACTACTTCACTTGATTGCCAAGCCATAATATTTTAATGGAGATTTCTCTGTAAGTGTGGTATCTTGTAGGATTTTCATTTTCATAAGATAAAGGGAAAAGCCCAGTCTTCAAAGTTTCTATTGTTCCTGCCTCAAAAAGTTTTTCTGTCTTCTTATCCAAACCACTTAATTTGTGTGCACATGAAAAGTAAAGTCATAGCACATTTTTTTTTTTCTCCTCTTAACAACCAGAGAACAAGAAAGATCTAAGCTTCCTCACAAGTCTACCAGGAGCATCGGCACGGCTAAAAATTTTCAATGCGGATCTCAGCAACCCAGAAAGTTTCAATGCAGCCATTGAAGGATGCATCGGATTGTTCCATGTTGCTACTCCAGTTGACTTCCAAGATAAGGAACCTGAAGAAGTGGTGACCAAAAGATCAATTGATGGAGCCCTTGGCATTCTAAAGGCATGCTTAAATTCGAAAACTGTGAAACGAGTTGTATACACCTCGAGTGCATCTGCTGTCCAGTTGGGCAGGAAGGATGATGTAGAGCAACTGGATGAGAGCTTTTGGAGTGACGCAGATTACATTAAAGCTGTCAAGCCATATGGAGGCTCATACATGATTTCAAAGACATTAACTGAAAGGGCAGTTCTTGAATTTTCAGAGAAATATGGATTGGATGTTGTGACAGTAATTCCTTCTTTTGTTGTTGGCCCCTTCATTTGTCCAAAGCTCCCCAGCTCTGTTCAACACACTTTGTCTATGGCCTTTGGTATGTATAGCTTGAAGAATGTGTTTGAATCCAAAGTCCAAACATATTGTAAAGCATCTTCTCTGACTCATGTTTTAATGCAGGTGACTTTGATCAACTTAGCTTTATTATCAATACATCTGTGGTGCATGTGGATGATGTTGCCAGAGCACACATTTTTCTTTTTGAACATCATGAGGCAAAAGGGAGATACAATTGTTCTGCAGATGTCATAACAATTGTACAAATAGCTGAATTAATCTCTGCAAAATACCCAGAAGCTCAAATACCCTCAGCAGAGTGAGTTAAACTATTCTTCTTCTTATTACTCGAGTCTCTTTTCCGTTTCAGTCTAAAAAATTAAATTAAAATTCCTTTGTTTTCTTGGTTCTATCTTTCTGTGCAGTGATTTAAGTAGAGTTGAAGGCCCGAAATTGTCTAGTCTGTCATCAAAGAAGCTATTGGATTCTGGTTTCAAATTCAAGTATGGGGTTGATGAGATGTTCAGTGATGCAATTCAATGCTGCAGAGAAAAGCATTATCTGTAGTTCCTTCCTGGAACTATGAGTCTTATGCATGATTCTATGGAAGTTTGATACCATAACAGAAAACCAATCCCCTTTGTTGGATGGGAAAAGGAACTTTGCAAGTTTGATACCAATAAATGCGCATTGTGTGCTATATTGATTCCGGTAGAAAAAAACAAAAAAATTGGGATCTCTAGTATGAATAAAATTCTTGACTTTTTCCAAATGGCCAAACAAAACTATGCAACCACATATTCATAGGTAAGGTAAAGGTATCAGATCTTAGAGAGGTAAGAGCTTTGTCTTTCTTTAATGACCTTTAAATTTAACAGCACTTCTCCATGTGAGAGAGACTATGGTGGTGAGATTTCAAGTTCAGCTTGGATCATTGGATGGGTGTATATATGCACTCCATGAAATGCAAATAGCAAAAATGTAATGGAATGGAACAGTGAAAATCTTCTTCCAATCTTGTCTATCAATAAAGTCTTCAAAGAACAAGCTTAACTCCTTCCTCATTCCTTCTTACTTTCAAATCACGGTGTGATCAGGTAAGTAGGAATGGGGCATCTCAAAGGGAATGAGCCAAGTATTTTTCTTTTTCAAATCGAGATGTTGTAGAAACTAGAATTTTACTTTTATATTTTTTTAATACAAGCCATCGTACTAAAAGGGGGAGAGGGATTGCTCACACACACACGAATAAGGTGCTATGAGGTTCGAATCTGAGACCATTGATCTGCAAGTCCAAACCCTTTTCCATCGAGCTAAAGCCAATTGCCAAGATTTGTTTTAGGCATAATATATATTTTTTCTTTTTTCTTTTTTCTTTTTGCCGGAGAACATAGACAAACAAATGAAAACAAAACGACGTCGTACTAACAGCCTTCGCTCGTCCGTAAAAGTGAAATTTAAGCGAAGTTAACGGTTCTTTTGACACGTCCAAGCAACGGTATAACGACCTTCTCTTCCTTCCCGCTTCTTTCTCGCCTCTCAAACTCAACTGAATCTCTCCCTCTCTCTCACTCTGAATCATTCTTTGATTTATCTTCTTCTCCGTTGATTTTGAAATCGAATAATCTGCGCTGTTGCTACGACGATGTCGTTTTCAGATTCTGATTCGTCTTCTCATGGCGGAGCCACGGAGTACAAAATTTTCCGTCAAGTCAGCCGTGACCGTAAGCTGTCTCTCGCACCAACATTTTGCTTTTCACGTTTATTTTTCCTGTTTGGTTCCCGAGAAAATGTCTGAGCGGCGGTGCTCTGTTCAGCTAGAGTCATGAGTGCCAAGAAAATGTAAAATAAATGCCATTGAAGCTCTTGATTATGCTTCATTTTTGGCACCTATTGCTTTCCAACAAAACGCGTGAGAGGAATTGAAATCAAAATTTAACCATGATCTTTTTTTTTCTTTGGAATTTGTGATAAATAAGAAATGTATGAATTGGGTTTGTAGGGTTATTGCACGAAATGCTTGGATCAACCAGAACAGAGAAGTCCAAGTCTTGGAAGGTAAATTGTTCAATTCAGTGTTTTTATTTTATTTTTTAAAATTTTCTTTTAAAGCAGCTAGTCTATTACTTTTTTAAATTTTATAGAATTTTGTATTAATTTAGTTATGTGAAACTTGAATTCTACCAAGGAATGAGTTTTAATTGATTCTCTAATACTGTGGTTGTTTTTAATCATACTTCATTAGTTTTGATTTTGATTTTTTTTGTTGCCCCCAGGTCCTCATCATGGATAAAATAACAGTGAAAGTCATGTCCCATTCATGTAAAATGGCAGATATCACAGACCAAGAAATTTCATGTAAGCATAGCTTCCAATTTGTTTGTTCATTTTTTCCAAATTTCAAGTTCAAGCAGCTTCTTTCCCCCTTGGAAAGAGATGAAAATTGATTACGACATTATAAACGTCATTGTTTACATGTCTGCTAAGCTATCTTTAGCTAAATATTCTACAATGTGTTCCTTAATGCTTTTTATTGTTAGTTGGACATTACTAGGAGCTGATTCTCTTTTGTTGCAGTGGTGGAAGACCTTTTTCGAAGGAGAGAACCATTGCCGTCCATGGATGTTATTTATTTCATCCAGCCAACAAAAGAGAAGTACAGTATTTTTCAAAACATATAATCATTGATTCTTTCCTGATAATTACTTATCGTTCCACATGAAACTATGGAGTACTGTTTATCTGTAATAGTAAATTTCTCATCTCCTATATATATACTTGCATATGTGAGGCACATGAAATCTCAGCATCAGATTTAGTTATGGTGGGATGTCCTTGCGGTCATGCAAAGGCTTGAGAATGCATATGTTGACAATATACACCTCACAAATGGGCACGTCAAGCCTTGCAGCATAATATGAAATATCTTAGGCCTCTCCATTCATTGCAAATTGGTTTTGGATTAGGTGCTCTAAAAATTACCATGCCAATCACATCTCTAACTAAAATGATAAACCTATTATTTTCTTTAATCAGCTTTAGAACATTCTTTTCTTGGTTGAGCTACTTTCAAAGGAAACAGAAGAGGTTTCAGAAGCTTCAGGCTAGAAGGATATTTGTAAAAACTAGCCAGGGAACCGATGTCTTCTACCTTATTTTGTGAATATAAAGAAACTAATTGGTATTTGGTTGCTAGTTTTGACATGCAACTGAACTTCTACATTCCATTTTCCTTGTTCCTACCTTTTCTCTCTCTTTTC